GCAGGGAGGGTCACCCACAGTGGGAAGCTCCCCGGTCAGTTCTGGCCTGTCCTGCAGGGTCACCCACAGTGAGAACCCCCCGGTCAGTTCTGGCCTGTCCTGCAGAGAGGGTCACCCACAGGGGGAACCCCCTGGTCAGTTCTGGCCTGTCCCGCAGGGAGGGTCACCCACAGTGGGAAACTCCCTGGTCAGTTCTGGCCTGCCCCACAGGGTCATGATGACTGGAATCACGAGATGGCACTGGGGCCCGCTAAGTCCACTTCCAGTTTACGCCCTGACCCTGCCCTGTAACAGGAGGTCTTCCTCGGTCCCCCGCCCTGCCCTCGTGCCCTCACGTACCGCCTCCTCCGAGGGGTAGAAGCCGATGGCCCTCATGACAAAGGGCAGCTCGGGCAGGCGGATGTGCTCGGACACCTCCCGGGGCTCCATGGTGTCGATGCCCTGGCTACGCAGGTGGGAGTAGTAAAAGTAGTCCTCCAGCTCCTGCGGAGGCCAGCCCGTCAGCTGTCAGCCTGGGCTGACCGAGGAGGGGCGCTCGGGGGTGGTGGGGGCCGGGGTGAGGGGGGAAACGCAGGGAGTGACCCAGGGCACCAGCCACCGGACAGGGAGCTCAGCCAACACTACCCTGTAGAACTGTCCTTCCCGGCCACCAGTCACCAGGCTGTAGAACGGAGTCAGGTCATCACCCCCCAGCGAGACGGCAGCGTCCAAGGCACTGGGCAGAGAAAGAGGGGCAGGGTGTCACGGAGGGGGCATTGGCCAGGCACGGGGAAATGAAATCAAAGCAGGAGCCCTCACTGTACTGTGGAGCCTGGGGGGCTTCCCAGTGGAGCCCAGTTGGTACTCTCACTATCCTGGCCTAGTCATCTACAATCTCCGGGAATCTTAGGGGGTAAGGCCCTGTGCCCCAAAGTCGCTGTCCTCCCGGGGAGGGGCCCTGTGCATGAGGTCAGAGCCCAGATAACCACAGTCAGAACAGGACACGGGGCAGGGGAGCACTTCCACCGCAGCCCGGAGCACGAGTGACCTACGCCAGACGGGAAAAAGGACCCTCCACTCTCCAAGGTTAGAGCAGCTGGCCACTCAAAGGTTGGCGGTTTGAACCCACCAGCCGAGGAACTCCGAGGGAGCACGCTGGCAGTCTGCTCCATGAAGATGCCAGCCTCTGAGTCACCAGTACAGTTCTACTCTGTCCTGTGGGGTCACAAGAGTTCTATTCAACTTGGCAGCAGCGGGTCTGGTTTTGTTAGCTCTCTTAGGAAGTTCGTCCTGGAGAGGCTGCTTCTTGGAGGCAAGGATTCTGAAGCTTCGTCTGACTTACTCTGGACATGTTGAAAGTTGGGATCAGTCCTTGGAGAGGGACATCATGCTTGGGAAGGTGGAGGGACAGCCCAGGAGAGAAAGACCCTCGATGAGATGGATTGATTCAGTGACTGGGGTAATGGTAAGGGGTAGGGGTATCAGAGACAATATGTTTGGCACAGGATAGAGCAGGGTTTAGGGCTGTGTTAGAGTTGCTATGAGTCGCAGGCAACTCAACGGCACATAACAACACTACCCCATGGTTGGAATTTTTGAAAATAGGCTCTCTCTTATTGTTATTGCAATTTTGGGGAAACTTTTCAGAGTGAATTGATTTTGCATTCACTCATTCATAAATACTTTTATGATGTTAATTATCATAGCACCAAGTAACCACGTTCTCGGTTCCTCTCTGTGAGTCTCATTTCCATCAATCTCTCTGTCATACTCATTCGTATTTTCTAAGCTTCATCCACAGGCAGGGGCTACCTTTTGATCTTATGTGGTTGATTATTCTGGAAGTTAAGCCTTGGCATGAGTTTTATTCCATGTTCAAAGAACAACAAGGTACTCTGGCGTCTCACGAGTGTCTACTAAACCTGTAAACCTGGCCACTTCTATGATTCAGAGTTTCATGTCACAAAAAATTTAAAAAAAAACAAACAAAAACAAAACACTAAAACATTTACTTTTTCCCCTGTAAATTTTATTTACCCTGTTGTGAATATACACAGCCAATCATATACCAATTCGACAGTGCCCACATGCTCAGTGTAGAAACGACAATTACTTCCCTGGGCTCAGTGCAGGCCTTCTCACCTCCTTTTCTGAGTTGTCAAAAATAGGCCCTTTAAACTACAACATCTCCACAGGCTCGTGACACGTGAGCGGACCCAGTGACCGGAGGCTGCAGCCAGCACACCAGGGTCTAGCCAGCGGCTTCCCTGAGAGTCCACCAGACACTGCAGACAAGGGGCCACCAGCACTGTCCAGACTCTTCGAAAACACAGGGAAAGAAGGAATCCTCCCCAATTCGCTCTGCGAAGGCAAATAACCAGGTCCAGACAGAAGCCACACAGGAAACCACAGGCCAACACCCCTGATGAATGCGGACGTCAAACTCCTCACGGGCAGAATCCAGCAGCATGGTAATGGGGCGCTCACGCCATAACCAGCTGGGCTTCATCCCAGGAATGCTGGGGGGCTCAGTGTCAGCAAGCCAACCCACCTAACTCGGCACATCCTCTCTCGATAAAAATCCTCAAGACAGTCAGAAGAGAAGGGGACTTCCACCGCATGCCTCGGACAGAGCAGATGAGAAAGTCCACAGCCAAGAGTGGACCAGACAACAGCCAGACAGAGACACTGAAAGCGTCCGCGTGAGGCCAGGCCTCAGACAGGATGCTGCTCTCGTCGTTCCTCGTCAGCATCTGGTAGCGGTCCTAGCCAGAACACAAGGAAACAAAAGGTGTCCAGGGTTCTCAGAAGAGGTAAAATCATGTCCACGGGTGGATGACGTGACCTTCTCTACAGAAAATCCCAGAGTCCACAAGGAAACGCCCAGCACGACAAGGAGGTCACAGGTCACCAACCAACAGGAGCTGGGCTTCTCTCCACCAGCTGGGAGCAATCTCAAAGGAGAAGGAAATAAACCCATTTACAGTCACAGTTAAGAGAACAAACACCAGGACTAAACCCAACCAGGAGCATGAAGGATTTAACAATGAAAACTAAAGCGTAGCGTAGCGTAGCGTAAAGACATGGAGAGATGTTCTCTGCTCACGGACTAAAAGACTGAATACTGCTGAAATGTCAACACTGTGTAAAGCAATTTCTAGATTCAATGCAATCCTGGTAAAATTCCAAGTTGTCTTTAAGAAATAGGACAAACCAATCCTCAACTTTATATGGAATGGCAAGACATAGCTAAAAAAAACATAGAAAGAGAACGAAGTAGGAAGGTCCATGTTTCCTGAGTTTAACACATCTCTGGGAGGCTCTGGGGACGTCCACGGCTCATGCAGGGTCCTGTGCTAACTCAGGCTTCCTGAACTTAACACACGGCACCGAGAGGCTGTGGGGGCATCCACGGCTCATCCAGGGTCTTCTCCTAACGGTGAGTCTCTGGCGATCTGAAGCCAGCACTGCTCCACAGCGAGGCACGGCAGTCTCCCCCCTGCAGTCGACAGCCATGGCAGCAAGTCTACAGAGGCTCACCAGCAACAAGTGCCCACCTCCAGCAGGCCACAAGCCTGGCACTGGTCGAGCGACAGACACACAGACCAGTGGGACCCGGCCAGGAATCCACAGTGAATTCCCACTTGGATGGCTCTGGATAAGGACGTTCACCCTCTTTGATAGGAAAAACGAATCTCCTCAGTACCTAGAACTGTCTCGTTTAGGAAAAGGAAATGGGACAAATATTACACGATGCCACTGTTGTAGAATGGGACTGTCCTTGGGGTTGGGGAGAGACTGAGTAAGATGGGTTCAATAATGTATACTGCACTGAAACAGAGGAGAGAGAAAACCGTTTAAAAGAGAGATATAACTAGGTATTTCTGTCATCACAGGAGACTAGAGCGAGGGCTACATGGTGGAGGAGACCTGGGGGAGGGTTTGTAAAACAATGAAAGAATCTTTTCTTTTACTTTTCCATAATTTTTGGACTCATGTACTTATAACTTGTTAGTCAAATTTGTGTCTTCTAGGTTGCAACACCCCCATGATACATCTTCAAGGATATGAACATGTACGGCCAAGCACAATCAGTAAGAGTGCATCTAAATTCCAAAATCAATCTCCATAATAGTCTATGTGTTTCCTACTGCCAAAGGGGCCCTTTAGAGTAGTGAGAGAAGATCTTCACCCTGAAACCCACAGCGTCCCTTTTCAGCAGGAAGTAGCTAAGACGCCATCCCCTTTTCCTTATGACTCAGGGTGAAGTCTCTCTCAGGGAGGAGTGATAGGGAATGGCAAAGGACACACTGACAAAGAAGATTAATCAGAACTGGCTTTGACAAGCACTGTGGCATTTGGACAAGAACAAACTGGGAGGAGGGTAGAGAGAATAGTGCTACAATGAATGAGTGGAAGCCCAAAATCTCTGTAAATGTTTATGAAAATTAATAAAATATAATTATAGAAAAAAAAAAGGAAAAGGAAATGGGGTCCATGTCTCACGTCACACAGAGAAACAGAATGAAAACACATTAGGAGTCTCCGTGCGCCATGTAAAATCACATTCTTAGAAGAACAAGCAGAAGCTTAGCTCCCACGACGGGTTAGCTAGCATCATCCCAAAATAGAAACAGAAGAGTCAAACAATGGGGACCTAATTATTTTTGGAGGACTTCATTTTTAAAAAGCCAAAAGCTTGTTTGTCAAAGACTTAACCGAAAAAGTAAAAAGACAAGAGAGCGTCTCTTTGGAAACCGTCTATCTGAAAAGAAGCTAGTAACTAAAATAGACTTAAAACCTCAAACGAACGACAAAAGGCCTAGACCCAGCACACGAGGAGACACTGACGTGAGCAGACTCTCCACCAGAGTCACAGAGCTAGCGGACACGTGGGAACAGCCTGGCGGTCAGTCATCAAGGAGACGCAGAGCAAACCACAGTGAACGCCTTTACACGTCAACCCCAAAGGCGCAGACTGGAAAAAGGAGGAAACAACAAATGTCGGTGAGGATGTGTGCGAACTAGAGCCCTGACCCGCCGCTGGTGAGAACACCAAGTGGTGTGGCTGCTGTGGAAGGCCGTGCTCAAAACCGAAAAGGAAAACTGGCAGAGGGACCAGTGACTGCAGCCCTTGGCGTGTGACCCGCAGACGTGAGAGCAGGGACTCAGACACAGACTGCTGGGCTCACGGTCCCCACCGCCCACTCGCTCCCCACCGCCCACTCGCTCCCCACCGCCCACTCGCTCTGTAGAGCAGAAGACCTTGCCCAGGAGACACGATGCTGAGTGGACTAGGTCAACCGTAAGAGGACAGAGTGGACAACCTCACTTCTTATACAGAACACCTCCCTGAAATGCCAACATATAGAAACCAGAGCTCATCCATGGTTAGCAGCAATGAGGGCAACGGAAGGGACGTTAATAATGACCTGAAAATCAGAGTGATTTAAGGTACGGCTGCTGTTACAGCTGCCAATAAGTTGTGAACAAAGTTGTGCGGTGGGTGTATTTACAACATGCCCAACAAAAGAACAAAGGAGGAGTCACCGAGTTCACTGGTGAAATGGACGGTGGGGTGCCAGCAATGGCGGGGAGATGGGAGGTGGGGCGCCAGGAATGGCGGGGAGATGGGAGGTGGGGCGCCAGGAATGGCGGGGAGATGGGAGGCGTGGCTAACTGCCTCCTCAGTCATGACACCAGAAGAATCAGAGAGTGCCAGCTACCATTACAGGACATTTTGATCAAAGATTCCAGACAGGTCTTGATCAAAAGGGGGAAATGGAGAACAGAATTTCCACTCTTCACTTTCCGGAACCATGATAGATAGATGAAGCTCTAAAACTACTGCCTTGAGATACTCTTTAAACCTTAGACCACAATGATCTCCTGAAGTCGTCTTAAAGTCAACCAACAGTCTATGTTAACAGTGAAAAAAATCCCTGCTTCGAGCACCGCACCGAGCACCGAGCACTGAGCACCGAGCTCTGTGCTCTCTAAGACCGTGTCTGTGGGACCAAAGCTCAGGGAGCAGTGAGTTTATGTTAATGAGGGAGAACACCTCAGGAAAGAGAGTGAGGTGGTGCAACAGAGTGAAGACGCTAGCTGGCATCACTGAGCTGAGCATGCAGAAACCATCCTGCTGCAGGAACCTTTAAAACTCAAACCTACGGCTGCCGAGTCAGTGCCAAGCACTGACGGCCTTCCCGTGGTTTCTAATTCTGTGCAGGATGACGGGAGCAGAGCGCCTTATCTTTCTCCGGAGAAGACACGCACACCCGCTGGGTCTGAATCCCCACTCCCAGACAGCAGCCCTGCCCACAGCCCACTACACTACCAGAGATCCCAGCACAAAGAAGGCAGGAAGAGCCCTTCAAAGGATGAGAAAACCTACGTTTGCGTGAGGGCAGCTTTGCCTCTTACAAAACACTGACAATATGAAGTCATTATGATAATCCAATAAATGGATTTCTGCTAATCGGGAGATTAGTCCCGTGCTGGGATATGAGAACAAGCTTGGAAGGGATCACAGCAGGGAAGTGAGGAAGCACCCAGAGTCAGACGTGCCCCCTGCCTCTGCCACTGGTAAGCTGTTATGAGCAAGTAACAGGAATGCTCTGTGCCTCAGTGTGCCAATCTGTAAAGTGGGGAAGATGCCGCAGGCACGTGACGCGCACCCTTCCTATTTCTCCTGGGAAGAAATAAGTTGGGACCAGAAGGCCTGCTGTGAACTCCAGCCCCACCCTAGGGTGGGCCGTCACCTAAGCCTTCCAAATGAGTTTCTCATTCTGGACAGAGAGGTAACCACAGAATGGCAGAGAGGACAGAAGGGGACCAGAACTGGCTCACAGAAAAGGCCTGGAATAGAATGGCTCCAGTTACTACTCCCAAACCCAAACACACGGCCTTCAGCTCCACTAAAGCTCTCCCGGGGCTCATGGTCACTTCCCACCAGGGTACGGCCACCTCCCGTCAGGGTCCCCCCCCAGGTCAGGGCCGCCTCCTGCTGGGGTCCCCGGGGCTCACGTCCACCTGCCGCCAGGGTTCAGATGTACATTTTTATGACACAAGACAGCCTGTCTTTCTCCTGAGGAGCAGAAGGTGGGTTTGAACCACCTCCCTTCCAGTTAGCAGTCCCACATGTAACTCAATAACATCAGGGCCCCTCCTTGCAGACACTGGGGCCCCAGGAGTGGGCGCTGCTGTGTACCTACACTTCCCCAGAAGAGGCACTCATAAACCTGCTCTCAACCCTCTTGGGGGCTGGGAAAAGGCCGTGGGGTCCTAGCAGGGCTGTACCCAGGAGGGCCCCCAGCAGGCTCTGCCTTCATCCCACTGAGGTCGGTTTCAGGCCAGGCCCAGGGTCCACTTAGAAAGGTCAGGGGCCAGGCCAGGCGCAGGGCCAGAGAATGCTCAGAGGTGACTCAGAGGAGCCCCTGAGCCCCAGCACCCTCTAGGGGACACACACAAGAGCCCCCCGCTCCCCCAGCTCCAGCTTCAAGCTAGTCTGGTGGTGAAGCATAAGAGTGTTGGGAGACTGTAATAGAGTGGCAAAAAGGGGTGCTTGCTTGCAACGATGGGGAGAAGGGCCAAGGTGTGGGTGAACCCCGGAGAAAGGGGCTGGACAGGGGTCCCTGGACAGCTCCATCTGCCACACTGACAGCGTCCTGGCCTGGGGGCTGTGCGTGTGGCCGACTCAAGTCCAGCCCATTTCAACCTTACAGGACATAGCAGAGCGACCGCTTGGCTTTGAGGCTGGGGGTCTGCACAGGAGCACGCTGCCTTGCCGTCTCCCCACGGAGAAATACGGGCCTTCCTGTCAGCAGGCCAGAGCCTAACTGCCCTAATACTTGGTCAATACAAGTTGGAATGAGCTTGATGGCAACTTTAAAAATTCTCTTTGGTTCATCAAGGAAACAGACGACCAGGTCTTCTTTCCGTAAGCCCATCTGTGGCCTGCAGAGTCGCTGGCAGGTTTGAACTGCCAGCCTTTCAGTGAGCAACCAAACACTTAACCACCTCGCCACCAGGGCTGTGACCATATGACGACAGTGGTGGTGGCTGCTGTTAGTTCCTGGGCAGACCCCCAGGCCTTCACGCACCCTCTGCCTGGACTGGGGTCCTGGGGCAGCCTTGATGGAAGCACTGGGCCGGAAGGCATCCCTTCCTCCCACGCCTGGCCTCACCATCAGTATGCGTGGTGGGAATTTTGTTTATTATTTAGGGTTTTCTAACTTCTTTCCATTAGTGAGTGCGGAACATATTAAGACACCAGAAGCAGTAATGAAGTGCTAATTAGGTTATAACAATCCTTTGTCCCACCGACAAATTAAACTGAAATTCTCGGCAGCCTGGACTCCAGCCAGGCACAGGGAACCGACTGGACAGGGGCTGGTGCTGCTAGCTGATAGACTGGACAGAAATGAAAGCATGGGGAGACTGTCCTTCCCCCCTAAACCCTGGCTCTCCTCCCCTAGGGTCCCGGGGAGCAGGCAGGTCTCAGGTGCCTAGCATCGCCTCTCTGCAGGAATGAAGGGGTGTCCCTGCCTGGGCCCAGATCTTCCAGCTCCCCAGATCGGAGATCTGAGAGTCAGAGCTACGATGTGAGATTGTCTCGGGTTGAACACGCGTGTCACTGGTGATTTCTGCTCTCGGAATGGCCAAGCAGGACGCTTCCCTGGCTACCATGGGCCAGCTGTGCCCTTGGCTTGGACCTGGGGTGGTGAGTTCAGTTGTTCTTGTAATAGCAGTGCTCTGGGGAAACAAGGCGGCTCCCAGCTCTGCCTTCTTAGGTGAATGTGGGAGGGTGACCAGCAGAGCCCGCAGGCTACTGGAGGCAGGGCCAGAGCCTGGCTTGGGGTCAAAGGAAAGACCACCCAAAAAACCCGCCCCCTTTTTAGAAACAAAGGTTCTGAGCTCCTAAGCCAATGTCTCTACGAGGAAGTCTGCAAAGGAAATCGTGACCACAGTTTCACACAAACAACACGCACACTACCCAGCTCTCCGAGTTCATTTTCTACCTGTGCTGTATACACGCTGTGTGTGGGAAGACAGGGTCATTTAGCGACCACCTAGCTCGGTCCTTTAAATGGATTAGAGCAAACCAATTCTTACTCACACCCACAAACCAAAACCCTGCCTGCACGACAGAACACAGCCGCTTCACAGGGTCCCAGGCTGTAAACCTCAGCGTCTTCTCCCCTTTTAACTCTTGTAAAACAAAACGTGCCGCAGCTCACCCTCCAGGGGCCTCTGTACGTAAGGTCAGCTGGACGGGATGGGGTGCGGAGGCACAGAAGTTCATGGACGTGGCCACTAAATGTGGGGTCAGTGGCTCAAACGTCCACCTCCACACAGGGATCTCTGGTGGCCTAGTGGGAAGGAGCTGTGCTGACAACCCCAGAGCAGGGAGTTTGAGTCCACCAGCTGCTCCATGGCAGAAGACCGCCAGTCTCCTCTTGTGTGACTTGCTGCCTCTGAAAACCTGCTGGACGGTCAGTTCTGTGTTGGTTCTGACTCACGGGCACATAACAACACACACATACACACGAAGCTCATCGAATCAGTGGTTACCCTGAGGTGATCTTTAAACTTCATATAAAAAATATTCTGAGCTCTTTTTAAAAACAAACAGTACTCAGAACTTGTCCAACTCCTGGTAATGCTGCACCAGTCTCAGAGGTTACACTCCTGGTGCGTGGGCACTGCCCGTCTTCGTCCCCCAGGGCCACTGGTGGAGTGGCACCTCGAGGGAGCCGAACCCTGTGTGTTAGAGGGCTGGGGAATGTGCCCTGAGCGTTAGGCTTTCTAAGATCCACGTGGGGCCAGCTGAAGAGCAGGGACCTGACAGCGGAGCTCGGACCCCAGGGGAGGGTGAGTGGCGCCCATGGAGAAGGGACGCCCGCACGGAGAGCGCGCCCCGCCGCTCACACGGCTGGACCAGGAGACACGGCCCATGACTCCTGACCACTGTGTATACTTTCAACAGCACAAAATTTACCTCTTTAATCAAAAGAGTCAACTGAGAACAGCCAAACCCAAACCAAATCTCGACCTGACTAATCAATATAACCCTAACCCAGGCCCGCCTGCGTCCAGCTGGCGCCGTCCCATTGGCCGTTCAGACACAGGCCCCCTCGCAGGGGCTCTGGGCCGGGACCCTTAACAAACAGACTGCTGGTATCTTTCTCCCCGGGATAACTGGCGGTTTGACCCTGGTCAGCAGTCAAATGCTTTAATTGCATGCCACCAGCCCTCCTTACTTCAGGAAAGTCACACGACCGTTGGCATGGCCCCTGACGTGACAGCGAGCTCTGGAAAGCAGTTCCACCTGCAGCCCCACTTCTCCTCTGATGTCTCTCCTCATCCCTGCCCCTCCTGTGAGAGGCGCCCCGGGCTCTCCAGCACACGCCCCCTCTCACCACAGTTCCTTGCTTGGCTCACCCCTCTGTGTCCCATGCTGGTGGGTGAGTGGCCTGAGGCACAGGCCTGGCCCGGGCACCTGTGTACCCGCAGGAGGCCTGGCAGGGCCTCCCGCTGAGGTAACAAGGCAGCCTGTAGGCCCAGCAGCCCGCCCCTCGTGTACCTTAAATTAATCTCCCACTGGGAGACAGAACGGTCCTTTCCTCCAGCCGTGAAGGCGTAGCAGCCGTCGAAGGACAGGGTCAAACTGGATACCCCATTTGGGTGGCAGATGATGGCGCACGTCTTATGGGGGTTGCCATCCACCGGCAGGATCTGGAGTCCTACCTAGAGAGAGACAGAACTGGAGGCTGGGGCGCCGGGGCCCTCTGTGCCTGAGACCCCGAGTTACTACCGAACACTGTGCAGGAAGGATCTGTGGGCTGCACCCCTCCTGGTGGGCGGGCGTCACCCCTAGAGCCCACACAGTGGCCCGTAGGGTGGTCCCTCGGGGTGAACCCCTCCTGGTGGGCAGGAGTCACCCCTAGAGCCCACACGGCGGCCCGTTGGGTGGTCCCTCGGGGTGAACCCCTCCTGGTGGGCAGGCGTCACCCCTAGAGCAAACACGGTGGCCTGTTGGGTGGTCCCTCGGGGATGGCACCAGGCTCCAGCTGGGCATGCAGTTCCTGTTGCTACAGAGAAAGGGCACTCCCCCATGGGTGTGGTGAGACGTCCCGGGCTTTCCAGAACAGTCCAGGGGTGGTATGTGCTTGTCAGCAGAGATTCCTCATTAAATGTACAGCCAAGCAGGCCTGGCTTGGGCATCTTTCTGGGATTTTTCTCCTAAGCAGCCCGGATGGAGCGATGGTGAGCACATGGCTGCTGAGAACCACATGGTGGGTGGTTCAAGCCCTCTCAGGGACCCGTGTGCAGGGCAGCCAGGGACATCTGCACGTGCACACGGGGGCTCCAAGCCCTGCGGAGGCTCGACTTTGTCATGGAGAGTGGCTAGGAGACGAAAGTGACTCAAAGGCACCTCACAACAACAAAATTCAACGTATGCATGGAAAAGAACCCAAGGGAAGGGACAGGTGCCCTCACCTGGGGTAAAGAAAATACTGGAAGCCCAAAAAGGTCTCCCAGGAGTTGGCGCCACTGTCCACGGTCATTTCAGGGGCCCTGCTGATTCAGATTGCTTTGCTGCACTTGGCTTTTCCACAGATATTTATGGGGTTCTTGTGTGGGGTGAGAGGGGAGTCTGAAACCAAACTCAAGGTTTGCAGCAGCCTCGTGTGGCGCGTCCGCTGGCACCATCTTGCCAGCAGCACCTGGTGTCAGGGGTGCCGGCTGGTCACCCTCACAACACTTCAGAGTCCCTTCTAAGGCCACCGCACACACGGCAGACTCCAGCATGTTGCAAGCCTAACTTCTACGTGCACTTGAAACCAAATCTTCTGTCTTTACTGGGTTATCTGCTTGATTGTGGTGGTTTGAAACCCAACCACAGCCTCTCTGAGGTCCTGGGCCTGGACTTGAAGCCAAGCATCCCTGAGGGGACAGTGGGTGGCCTGGGACGGGCGGCTGGTACCTTGTCTCTGTTAATGAATGCCAGGTAGCGTTTCTGGAGGTCGGAGCTGGTCTTCACAGGAAGGAGCTGGACCTGTTCAATGGGCGAGCCGTAGGTCGGCCCAAGGAGAGTCTTTCTGCAAAATAAGAGAGAGAATTTTAAAGCCACAGCCGAATGGAGGTCTGATGGCTTTCTGGTGGCGATGTTCTCAGAAGGCTTCACCCTAAACTCCCGTCTCGTCCCTCAGGGAAGCAGGAAGGGGCTCGCCGTGCAGAAGGAAGGAAGGGCCACGTGCCCCCACAGACTGTCCCCATGACGCTGAAAAGGGAGCACACTGTAGGGGCCCTGGCCCACCCCCTGCTCCTTATACCACACCAGCGGTTCTGGGTTCGTTGTTTTGTGAAATACTTATTTCTCCCATGTTTAGACACCTTACAAAACAGAAAATCAAAACCCTCACTACCATCAAGTCTCCTCCCGCTCAGAGCTGGAACACAGGTCAGGGCTGTCGTCAGGGGCCGTCAAGGTGACTGGGCTCACCCAGACAGTGAGCAAGCGGTCTGAGTCGGCCCTCCCCGTGTCCGTCACCGACAGGCGGGCTGACATATGCACTGCAGCAGCGGGCTCAAGCATGTTGGAGGACAGAGCAGGGCTGCCCCGGGGGTTCCGCGGCTGGAAGACTTCACAGGCGCACAATGTCTCGTCCTTCTCCCTGGAGAGTCAACCTCCCAGGATTCAAGCTGCTGACCTCCCAACCTCTCAACCCACGGCGCCACCTGAACTCCTCTTAGACCCACACAAAGCAGGAAGTCCCTAACAGCTCGCTATGTTGTTATGTGGTGTTGAGTTGCCAGCGATCCTGTGCACAGCAGCTCTGAACCCATCTCTGTCCTGAGCCAGTCTCACTGCCTCCAACACACCTAACCCCATCGCCCCAGTCACTAAGTCAATCCTTCTCATCCAGGTCTTCCTCTCCTGCACTGTCCCTCCACCCTTCCCAGCACGATGTCCATCTCCAAGGACCATCCGTACTTGAGAATTTCTTTTCCATGTTTGTATATCTATTTTTTTCCCAACTTCTATCCTATTTTCCTATGGAAATGAATCCTGCGCACTCTTCCTAGGGAAGTGTCTGACCCAAGCTGCCTTGGAGCCACGTCCACAGAGAGCGACCTCACGCGGCCCTCATTTCTTTTTATAAAAGCAACACGACGTCCCAGTGGTTCGACAACCTTCATTTCACTGATCCCCTATTAATGGACATTTGGATTGCTTCCATCTAAAGACACCGTTCCCGGCCAGCCATCCTCGGAGCCACCTCTTGGCATCCTGTGTGCGTGCTTCCGTGGGCTACAATTCCTAGAAGTCGTGAGGAGGGATGGGGCTTAATTGAGGGTGACGAATGGCTTTCCCCAAAGGTCACGCCAATTCTCTCTCTCTCACACACACACACACACACACCCACCCCTGGTTTTCAGCGTGCGAGGCTGCCTGCACCCTTGCCAAGCTCTGAACACCATCAATCATTTTTATCTCTGCTAATCTGGCTTCTGAGAAATGGCATCTGGCTTTCATTTGCATCTCTGATACAGCAGTGAGCCGCTTCTCAGAGCTTTACTGGCTTTCTCCTCCTGTGAAGTGCCTTTTCATGTTCTTTTAAATATTTTGTAAATGCCATTTTCAAATTCTCTGGGCTTTCTCATGAAAAGGCATATCTCTCCCAGTGAAGTTTTGGTTTCTCGGCTTTGCTATTTCAATGCATGTGGAAGCTAGACAATGAATAAGGGAGACCACAGTCACTCAAGGAAGACACGGTGTCTCTGAATTGAGGTGTTGGCGAAAAATACGGAATATTCGACGGACTAACAAAAAAAAAGGGGCGATTCCATCCTGGAAGAGGCACAACGGCGACGGTGAAGCTCTGGAGAAGGACGGTGTGACCTTGTCTCCATGCTATCAGGAAAGGTCATCCCTGGAGGACACCCTGGTCCCCAGAGGAAGACATCCTGGTCCACAGAGGAGGACATCCCAGTGTCCAGAGGAGGACATCCCAGTCCCCAGAGGAGGATATCCTGGTCCCCTAAGGGGACATCTCAGTCCCCGGGGTGGGGGTGGGGATATCCCAGTCCTCAGGGAACATCCAGTCTCCGGAGGACCTCCCAGTCTCCTGGTCCCTGGGCGAGGACATCCTGGTCCCTGGGGGGTACCCAGTCCCCGGAAGAAGACATCCCAGTGTCTGGAGGAGGACATCATACTTGCAAAAGCAGAAGGGCAGCGGGAGAGAGCCCGCCCCTCCACAAGCTGGGCCAGTCCACGGGGGCTGTGGCAATGGGCTCAGGCCCAGCTGAGGCACAAGGACGCTGGACGGTGACGGTTGTGTTGTCACAGGATCGCTGTGACTTGGAGCTGACGGACAGGAACCCGTGAGACGCCTGAAGCGAGGCTGGTGGGAAGGCTCTGGACGAGACAGGGGTGGTGCTTCAACTCCAGGACAGGGCGAAGCACACAAGAGCTCCCCACGGCCAGCGCTCATTTTAAAATGGCTCATTTGCTTCTGCGTGAATTTGATCTCCAGAAATTCTTTTTAAGACTCTCTTACTGTGGTAAAAATACACCTACCACAACCTGTGCTGCCTTGCCACTCTTCCGTGTGGGGATGCCTGGCGCTGAGCCGACCTCTGAATGCTGAGGACTGACCTAGCCCACTGGCTTTCCACACACGTCACCTGCCGTCCTCACGACACAGCAGCGCTCTCCCCACTGCCGCCCTATGACGCCCACTGCCAGCTTCCCTTTCTGATCTCTCCTTCCTGCATTCTAGTCTCCCCTGGACAAGCACTGCCCTTGGGATCTACTACTATTTTTGACTGTCCTCAGGGACAATCTAGACCGACACCATTGCTCTTCAGCACTCTGGAGAGGTCCATGACAGCACAAGCTCCGAATGCAATTCGTCTTTTGGTTCCATGACTGCTGCTGGTGTTAATTGTGGAGCTGAGCAAGCTGTAACTGCTGACACTCTCAATCTCTTCTCCATCCATCATGGTGCTGCCCCTGGGTCCAGTGGTGGGAATCTTTGTCTTCTTGATGTTGAGCTTCACATGGCCAGGAGAGATCGGTCTTTGGAGAAGGACATCATGCTCGAATGGTGCAGGAGAGGGAGACCCCAGATGAGAGGAATTGATACAGTGACTGGGGTGATGGGAGTTGGTGTCAGAATCGGTGAGACTGGCTCAGGACAGGGCAGGGTTCAGAGCTGCTGTACAGAGCGTCACTATGCATCGCAGGCAACTCGACCAATAACATTCTATGACAGATTTGGAAGCAGGAGTGGCATCCACTTCCTAAAGAACATGCCTCTGGAAACTCTGTGAACTTTGATTAATGTCGACAGCCGTAAAGGGGCTTTCAGGTCTTTTGCTCGTAGGGTTGCAAGAGTTGTGCTCAACTGAAAGGCCATCAACAACAAGGGACAATAGTGTCAATTCACCCCTAACGTGACTCTTCCCTTTAAAAGCCTGTGTCTTCTTGTTTGGCTTGAAGCTGAGCCATGGGGGCTGAGTTCAGTTCCAGGACAGCTCAGCCTTTCCCCTTGCACACGAGTGACTAACTGGATATCACCTTGTGTGCCCGTCACCACCTTCTGTGCCCGTGACTTCCCTTTGCCCAGCCTCCAGCCTCAGTATCTGTGAACTGTAAGTGCCCACCTCTCCGTGGTCACTGTTAGGTGCTGCTGTGACCCTATGAACGGCCGCCCTGGCCCACGTCCTCTCCATCTCTGACACGGGGCTCGCCGTTGGCCTCTTTCAGGGAAGGGGGGGTTCAGACAATGCCTGTCCTTTAGTGACTGACGTGTCTCACGCAGCGTCACGTCCTCAGCGTCCACGCAGTCACAACGTGTCTCAGAACTCCGCTCCTCTTTATGGCCGGATCAGAGTCCATGGAGCACATTTTGCCAGTCCAGTCATCTCTTGGTGGCCACGGGAAAGGTTCCTTCCTGTGGCTGCAGTGACTGATGCTGTGACAGACACTGTGATGGGCACTGTGAAGGACACTGGTGTTCACATCCCTGTCACTGCAGTGACTGATGTCATGATGGACTCTGTGATGGGCACTGTGACAGGCACTGTGACAGACACTGGTGTTCAGGTCCCTGCCTGTCACCGTGGTGACTGATGCTGTGACGGACACTGGTGTTCAGGTCCCTGCCTGTGGCTGCGGTGACTGATGTTGTGATGGACACTGTGATGGACACTGGAACTCACGTTCTCTTTATGCTCATTTCAGAGTGTCAGTGCACAGAGACCCTGGATGGGATGGTTCCTTACTGCCGAAGGTAGCCAGCCCCCCGTCTCTTCTTCACCTAGTCAGATCAGACTTTTTCCCAGGGATAGGCCTCCCCATGGGGTACTCTCTGTTTAAAATATGTGTGTCCATTAAGACAGCATATAATCCACCCCCTGGGCACACCTTTCAGTCAAAACCCGACAGACCACAGGCCCACAAAGTGGTAACAGCATGGGGAAGGAGTGGTCAACCATGTGAGGCCCAGAGGGCAGCAGGCGCCCAGTCTCAATGCCGAGGCAGGAGACAGACAAGTGGACAAGGGAACCCAGGGACAGGAGGAGTGCTGGTACATGAGGGGACTGCAGTCGCCATCACGACACAAACGGGTGCGAGCTCTGGATGGAAAGCTCACCCGCTCCGTACACTTCCACCCTCGCCACAGGCCCCATGGTAAGAACAGCAACAGCTGGTAAAAGTGCCGAGAGCTTCCTTGTTGCTGCTACTGTAAGGCTTTTCACATGGGCTGCAACTCCCAGTGGTCCTGTGTGGCAGGGAAGGGGCCCTGCCTGTCCTGTCCTGCCTGCCCCGGGGCGACCCTCTGCAGGGGCCGAGCCACCATTGCAGCCACTGGTCCGTCCCTCTAACGTCTCCTCCTCCTCGCGGAACGTGGACTGCTTCAAGCAGGATGTCTTTCTAAGACTCCTTTCTACACTTCGCTCTCCCACATCTGGTCAGTTCTCGGAGAGTGTGAAGGAAGGCGCTGTGTTAGATCATCGCTGTCTCCTGTGTCCACCTGGAGAAAGGACTCACAGCTCCCAGTGACTCTGGAAGACCTTCCTAACCTGAGTGAGATCCATTTCAGAAAATGGCCTTCTTTTTTTTCCTTGTTGTGTACCCTTGAATCAGATCCGACTGGCACAGGACGAGACTGCCCCTTTCTCCAGCAGAGCATCCTGTGGATTTGAACCAGGCGCCTTCGGGATTGCAGTGCAGCTTCTTGTCACTATGCCACCAGAGCTCCCTTAGAAAGTGTCCTTCCTTGAGTGTGAGCCGGCCAGTGCTGGACAGATCCCTGGCTCTCTTCCCCTGCCGAGTTACCCTAACGTTTGACTTGTCTTTCCTCCCTTGGGACCTCTATTCTCCCCAATCACACTCGAGAGGCAGCCAAAACACAGGCAGGGAAAAAAGCTCAAGGTCAGAGTGGACCCCAGGCCAGGGCTGCATGCAGGCCAGATCTGCCCAGAGAAGAAAAGGATCAGACCGGGCTGGCTGAATCCCTGCCCTGGCTCTGTCCAGCTTCTCGGTCCTGGGCCATCAAGAAGACTTTCTATGCCTTGGTGGTCCATGAAGCAATCATGTCCTTCCTCCCTGTTGGAGAGGAACGAGGCGGAAGGACGCGGCTGGGGCTCGAGGATCAGGGTGCGTCACGGGGACTCCGTCCCTCAGACTGTGGGTGTGTCAACAGGAGGGGTCAGTGCCTGGAGAAGGGCATTAGGCTTGAGAGGAAGGCTCAGCGGGACGGCTGGGCATCGGGCCTGCAGCAACAGAGCCTGACAGGCAGTGCCCCTCCTGGTGGACACAGGCTGGTACGCGGTGGCAGCCACCACCACCACCACCATGAAGAGTGAAGGCCAGGGCTCGCAGGTCAGCAGCAGAGCCCAGCCCCCGACACGGAGCTAGCTGAGAGTGGAGGCGGGCTCCCACCTACCTGCACATCTTCGTGGTGGAATTAAACAGCTTCACCTTGTAGTCGCTGTTGCAGATGAGCAGGAAGAGCTCCTTGGTGAGGGGCGGGTACCAGACCATGCAGGTGGGGTGGCCGCCCTGGTCAGTCCGGTGGATGTCCAGCACGTCCAGGTGGTCCTTGGTGGTCTTTGAGAGGTTGTACTCAATCTGTAGAGGAGCCGGGCGGGGTGGGGCAGACCAGGGCTCAGCGGGGGAAGAGCAGAGCAAGCCGCCCAGCTCACGGGGACGCCCCCTCACTGTGGGCAGCCAGCCTGGTCAGGTCAACAAGCTCCCACAGTGGATGTTCCCCGAGAGCCAGGCGGGGGGTGAAGCAGCGTATCTGCTCCCCAGACTGAGGCCCCAGTCACCTGTCTAGTCTGGGACCAGCTCACTCTCACGGCCAAAGGACCTGGGCGGGGCCAGGGAGAAACACTCCTCAGAACAATCAGATGAACCAGACCGAAAGGGCAGCGTTTGCCCAGGGAGGACACGCAGAAGGCAGGACCAAGAGGGCAGAGGGACAAGGGGGACTGAGGAACAGGACAGGGGGCGTGAGGAGAGCACTGTCACAGGGGGATCACTGTCGTTAAGGTCCTAAGATGGGGAAGAGTGGACGCGTGGCCAAGTCAACCTGCCCTCACAATAAGAAGTCCACGGCGAGAATAGAGACATGCAGGCAGAGCCCAGCCCTCACCAGGAGGCGGTCTTGGCCGAGGCTCAGCAGGCGGGGCTCGTTGCTGTCCAGGTACACCCCAAACAGGAGGCTCTGGATGCTCTTGCGATGGGAACACAGCCTGGCCAGGTATTCCCAGACCCTCTTCCCGTGTCTGACCACCACGTGGAACAGGACGACCGTGCAGCTGAGGTCCTGTGCGAGAGCAGAACTCAACTTAGTCCCTCTTCCGACTCCACCGTTTACACACACGCCGGCACGTCACGTTAGTGTGCCTCCAGGGCCCTGGACACCACACTGTGCTGCTTTTTCTTCCCTAATGGAGGCTACGGTTCTCAAGATCGCATCCACCCACTCTGTGTCAGAGCCGAAGCATCCTTCAGAACGTGGCCGCTCACCTACTGGACGACCGCGGAGTGTGACCGTGACGGTCGCTGGCCCCTTCCTGCGGCACTGGCTGTGTGCCGTGCTCTGGAGCAGAGCCTGCTGCACCCTTGAGGCCTGCCCGTGTCTCCCACTATCCCATCCTCTTTCTCTGCTCTTCACTGCATGTCCCTGCTCTCCCTTCCTCAGCTACATAAAATTTTAAAATGATGGCTAAAAGCAAAAGGGGTCACAGTCAAGCACACACGATCTGACACCACCTGGGAAAAACGTTCAGAAAGCAGGAAGGGCTAGGCAAAGACAACTGGAAATGACAGACACGAGAAGAAGGGGGAAGAGTGTCGTCACTAGGCAGCTACACGGTGGTTATCAGCCGGGAGTGTCACGGCCAAGGTGTGGACACTTCTCCAGGGCCCTCCGACTGACCCACATAATGGAGTGATGGAGTGTGTCTGCAGACAGGGGTCCAGAGCACCCCGACTGACCCACATAACAGAGCGACAGAGTGCACCTGCCGACAGGGGACCCCGGAGGCGCTCTCAGTACGCTCACGCCCTGTCATTAAAGTCAGTCAATGGCAAACTCCATCAGCCCAACCCTGACCTGACGCCCAGTAGGCCAGACCTTTCAGGAATGAAGGACTTCGTCCCCCCGCCAGGCAAAGAACCTCGACTAGCCGAGCTGCCTACGGAGGGGAAAAAGGCCCTGGGAACATGTGGCGGGAGGTGGTGCTGGAAAATACACGCCATGGCCAGGTGAACAGGTGGAGAAACAAAGACCACAATTTTATGAATGTTTCTACCTTGCTGTGTCTGCATGAAATATTTTTGCCTTGTTCATTCACAGAACATAAGATACAAATGGGGCAAGTGTTTCCAATTGTATTTGTTAAGCTGTATCCTGTTGGATGCAACTCTGACTTCATGATTCTATTTCCTTTTATGGTGCATGGCAGAGGTGCTGGTGCCTGCATGGCAAGTGGTGCACAGCAACGGTAACTGTGTGTCGGCCTGGCTGCACGTGGTTCAACTCTCTAGTTTGGCAATTATCCCCTTGAGGAGACTTGATATAATACAGTCACTTCTCTGACAAGCCGGTCAGGGGAAAGGGCCTTTCCTTGGGGGTATGGCCTTCACTGAACAGGTTGGGACATCTGAAAGAACTCTCTTGATTTTTGTTTAATGAGGATCTTCCATCTAGCTCTCTGAACCTGAGCCAGCAGGCTGCCATAATGCCTGTCGACCTTGGCAGTGTCAGCCTGTAAAGTCAGTCCCTGCTGGTTAACCAGTTAAGCAGGGGTCCACCAGCTCCTGCAGCTCCAAGAGTCAGAAGCAGCCTCCAGCCTGACTTCTGACCACCGCCTTGGCCCTGTCAGCTCTTTAACACACTGCTGCAAATGACGGTAATACATTGGACAGAGGGGGGAAATAATGTGTTTCTAAGCACGGTCGTCAATATAAAAGTGTGCGGCAACGTGGTAAGTATCTGAGCTATTCCTTTGAGAGAAAGAAATTCCGCTCTCTCTGAGAGCTCATCTGGTTTTCAGATAAGAGTTCTATCCCCTTCTCCTTCCATCTTTTTAAAAAGCAGCTGGATTGAGATAAAAATGCCCAGACCACACAGTGTGCCCGGGGAACACACAACCTAGTGGCTGCAGGCTTGGCAGACCTTGAGACGCTGCGGTTTGGGCTCCAGACCATCGAGGTGAAGCGACTCACAGATTCTGGGGATTCTTGCATACACTCCCTTCTACTGGAGCCCAGTGCAGGTGGCACGGTGGCACCGCGTGTACTGTCAAGGGCTGCTAACGGGCACGCCAGCCGCTCCAAACCCCCAGCTGCTCTTTGGGAGGGAGACAGGCCATCTCCTCCTGTGAAGACGCGCGGCCCCACAAACCGGAGGGAGGGTTGCTGGGCGGCAGAGGCGACACCACAGCACTGGGGTTGGATAATGGTTTTCTCTCAAGTCTGCAACAGCAGTCTGAGAAAGTCGGCCATATTGAAATGACAGAACTACGACACAACGTGAGGACAGGCTGGCAGGAAAATGAAACTGCCGGACCTTCACGACGTGGGAAGCACTGGGTCGGCAACGTGCAGGTACAGCCAGCTACGTGTCTGTGCATTCAGGGCGGCCACGAGCTTCACTGCTCCCTCATTCCGGGGACCCTCCCCGTCCCACTCTGTCCTGGGCTGACACAGGCTGCAAAGCCCTGACGGGCCTCAGGGGTGCACGCACCGCAGTGGCCATGTACTGGGAATCATGGGAGAAGCTGATGTGTGTCACGCTGCTCCGGGAATATCTGAAGGGCTTTGCAGTTTCGTTCTGGAGGGACATGGCGTCGAGGATGTAAACGGTCCCTTCAACGAAGCCAGCGCCCAGAATGGCTCCTGAAAGCACAAGCGAGGAACAAGGACTGAGAACGTCTGTCACGCCAGGTGCTGAGAGGACAGTCATGACCACAGGAGCTGGGGCCCCACGGGAGAAACCACCAAGACCAGGGCTCTGTGGGCTCCTGGGGGAGAGACCTCTGTGGTGCTTAATACTGAACAAGGCTCAGTGGAGCGTCCACACTAAGACTAGCAAACAGGACTGGAAGTCTACTTCCAAACACCTTCCAAGAAAAATCCAATGCAGCCCAAGAGTAACCAGTGACTGGCCAAGGGGTGGCCCTGCCAAGCAGACTCCCGGGGTGAGTGGGCACACGGGCAGAGCTTACTCGGGGGTGTAACCCTGCAGGCCACTGAAAGGAAGATACCTTCTGGGTTGTAGGTCAGACTCTTGATGCCGAGGCCCTTCTCAAAGCACCTGCTGAAAAGGTAGATCTTCTTCCTGTAGTCCCACACCTTGATCATCCCACAGAAGCTCCCGACGGCCAGGAGGGGCTGGTACGGGTGGCAGGCGATGGCACAGATGGCATCCTTGGGCTCCACGAACAACTTCTGCAGTTTGGTCCCGTCAGTGGTTAGGTGATACACTGTGGCATCAGACGTCCCGATGAGGAAATTCCTATTTGCCACGGGAGATGAGAGCCCGTCAGGGTTGACAGAGCATGAGCACCGCAGCCCTGTGTCGTCTACAGCGGGCGCACTGCCTCTGTCGTCTGTAATTTCCTGACATTATTAACCCGTCAGCTCCAAAAATGCACACCAAAACCCAGCTGCCCACGTTTCGACATGCAAATTGAGTCGTTAAGTATGCAGATGGACAGTCGGTTGTACAATTAGCTAATCTGCACATGCAAATGCTCATTTGTGTATGCAAATACGGAGCGTGGTGCACACATACAGATGTGCCTCTGACTACTGCAAGGGCAATTAGGCAGACTCACAGACGGCGCGCTCTGGAAGTGTTATGGCTATCAATTACCTTCCGAGCTGTGGCAAGGCCTCGCCGGGACCTGCAGGGGACAGCTCCAGACTCCACGGGGGTCAGCACCCAGGGACAGGGGGCTCCAGGCTTTGTGTCGCTACTACTAACCAGTCAACTTGTGGTTTCTGTTGTGGTCAGGTCCAACCTACTGCTCCCCGCACACACCGAGGCACCCACAGCTCCAATCCACAGCTCTCTGATCGCTCCAACAACTAGCCACACCTCCACTCACCTTACGATGAAAAAGTCGCCTTTCAAAGTGCAGTCTGGAGGGTAGTTTGACTTTTCGGTGGAAGACGGTGGTGGGGTCTTGGAAAAGGACAGGCTTTGTATGGCACCTAACTGTAAGTTGCTGTACCAGTTAACAATGGACAGGGTGCTGTCGTAGAACTTGATGTTGCCCTTGACGTCACCTGTGACGATGTAGCTGCAACAGAAATGAATGTGTCATTCACCGACAGTAACGGCAGCGGTCACTCCAGGCTCTGCACTCCTGGCCTTGCCAAAGCTTCATTTAGCACCACAGCAAGAAGCTTCGCTGCGTTCCCAAAGGCATAGGGTTCAAGTCCACCAGCTGCTCTGCGGGAGAAGGATGGGTCATCTCCCATGAGATTCCCTGCCTCTGAGAACCCGCTGGAGGGTCAGCGATGGGTCAGTTCCGACTCCACAGTTCACAATACACATATGTGAGGCTGACAGACGTCCCGGTCACGGAGTGATTAAAGCACTCATCCGGCTGCTAACAGAAAAGGTGGCAGTTCTAAGCGAGAAGCCGGGCGCGTCCATAGTTACGGCCCTGCAAGTGGATGGGCGGCACCACTCTGCCCGCAGCCTCGCTGAGAGCATGAACGATCACGGCAGCGCGTCTATCAAGGCTGACTTCCCGCCTGTGCCATTCCCTTCTGGAACCTGAGCTCAGAGAGGTAATGGGTTTCACAAAGGAAAATACAAAAAGCCCAGGTCAACAGGAATTTCAGACAACCCGCACCCATTCTGAGCCCAGTGACAGCCAGGGGAGCCCATTTCAACTCCCAATGGGCCTGAGGAAGGGGCAGAACAGTCCCACAGGGCTTCCCAGGCTGTTTTTACGGCAGGACTCGTCTTTAACCCACTGACCTTCTGGACAGCAGCACGGCTCTTTTTTTTTTAATTTATTTATTTTTATTTTATTCTTTTGTGGGTGTGTACTGTCAAATCAGATCTGACTGGTACAGGAGGAGATTGTCCCTCCTTCCCCGGCAGAGCATCTGGTGGATTCAAACTGTGCGTTTCTGGGATTGTAGTTGCAGCTCCTTACCACTAGGCCACCAGAGCTCCCCTAGCAGCATGGCTCTTTAAGCATCAGACCACCACCCTCGCAGTATAACCCACTGCCTCCGAGTGACCCATCACGACCCTGCAGGACAGAGCAGAACTGCCCCGTGGGGTCTCCAGGGTCTTTGCAGAAGCTGACTGCCACCTCCTTCTCTCACAGAGCAGCCAACAGGCTTGAACCACCAACCTTCTATCTGGCAACCAAGCACTTTAACCATTGTGTCTCCAGGGCTCCTCTGTAATGTTAAGTGCACGTGGTGGAGGAGGCCATGAAAGCTGGTGCATCTAAGCCTGGTGGGCCCCAGAACCCCTCTCCCCTCAGAAGCCACAGCTGCTCTGGGCGAGGCACTTGTGCAGTCCGAGGGCCGTAAAGCCCGGCCGGCCGGCATTGCAGCCCAAAGCAGGACTGTGTGACACAGTGACTCGCACCCCTCCCAAATGGGGCTGTGTGAAGCGTCACCATAATTCTAGTCTGTGAGGCGGGGGAGTGAATTTTCTCTTTTATCTGCAGCGTGTTGAAATGAGGCTTCTGATTAAGCGAGGCAGGTGGGCCGAGTAATTGGCTAGGACGCCGTTCGCTGCCCTCTGCTGGACAGAAGAGGCAGCGCCGGCCAGTGCGGGCACTGAGGCCTCTGCCCGGCTCACCTGGAGGGGAAGAGGCAGCTGGTCCTGGTCTGCACCAGGGGTCCTAACCCACAACTAACTAAAAGTGGAATGTGTGGCCAGCACAAAGGGGTTGTTGAAAAGTAACCTATTTCCAAAAATTTGTAAAATCCAAAGGGAAAAATGGGCCTATAAACTAAGTATGTCCACTGGTGTTTGTGACCCTTCTTCTCGGCGAGGAGCCAAGAGTGACCATGAGGGACCCTGTGCCACGGAACAGAGCTGCCCCGCAGGTTTCTGGAGCTGCCACAGGAGCTCACTGCCACGTTCGCTCAGTGAACTGCTGGGGAGGTGGAACCCCAATCTTTCATTCAGCAGCTGATGCTTTACCACTGCACCACCAGGGCCCGGGTCTCTATGTTGCCCCTGGAACCGGCCCACAGGCACACAGACTACATGCTGGCGTCTAAGGGTCATCAGGACACCGACTCCTGGATCACCTGGACTGGGCCGTGGTGTGTTCAACTGCTTGCATGCCAGTCTAAATTTGACAACTAAGAGTCAAGAAGAACGTTGTCTTTGAATTACAGTGCCGGCAAAGAGTACTGAATATCTATGGACCGCCAAAAAAACAAGTCAGTCCGCTTCAGAGGAGGTGCAAGCAGGGTGCCCCTTGGGAATGCTGTCAGGAGGCGAGTGTCCTTGGGAAGACATGACGCTGGAAAGCAGAGGGGAAGCAGAGGACAGGAAGATCCTCACCGAGATGCGTCCACTCAGTGGCCCCAGCAGAGACCCTGAGGATGCCATCTAGGCCGACGCTGAGCTCCACTGCTCACGGTGGGGGTGGCTGTGCACAGGAGCCCACCCGAGGGCACCACCAGCCACGTCCCAAAGCCAAGCGCTGAGGCCGAGCCAGTTCCCACCACGGTGGCCTTCCACCACGCTTCCAGGTGAGCAACTGGTGGGTCTGAACCCCCAACCAACACCGTATGCTCTGCACCACCAGGGCTCCTAGCTCTGCTTTCTGGTCAAGTTCATTACCTGTCGACTGTGGTGAGCACAGTGATGCCTTCCTTCTGCAGATGAACCAGCTTGCAAGGCCTGATGTAGGGGTAGCTCAGGACGGCGGCCGATGGTCGTGGGCGATGGACATCCCAGACAACCAGCTTTCCCTCCTTTGTCGCTGAGAGGATCTGTCTCGAATTCAGGTGGAAGACGGACTGGCTAAATTTCCCCACGAGCTTGTTGAATGTCTGGATTTTGAGAGATAGGGTACGAGTTACTGTTGGTACCAAGAACACAGCCAAGCACGCATTAACGCAGCAGTGTGCACTGAAACACAGGCGGGAAAAGCAGCAGAGGCCACAGGCAAGCTCTGAAACCCCACCCAGGACAGGGCAGCTCTGAAGCTTGGCCCCAGGCCAGGGCCAGGCTGCCCACCATGTTCAACCCAACCCACTGCTCAAAGCAAAAGAAACAGAGATTTATCTACACGGACAACTGTTTAGCTTCGCCTAGGGAAGTTTCAGAGGCAGGTAGGAGACACAGTGTGCGGTGTGTCTGTGTCTGTTGTGAACAAAAGTATGCACAGGCTGTAAAGACACCACTGAATCATTGTCCCAGCCTACTTTGATTCATAAATCATCTTCCCCTCAGTAGAAGTTATCTGAGTCCATAGAAATACTCCTGAAGACTTCTTAGGAAATTCCGTGCTGGAACACAAAGGCAACTGGCTTGCTTTCTTGGATGACACCTAAGGGGGAAGCCTCATGCACAAAGGCCCTGGGTGACTGGTGGAGGTAAAGGAGAACCCTGGCTCCCTGTCACAGGTACGGCTGCTGGCCCACTCCACTCGTGGCTCTGCCACCTGAGACTGGCACACGGCAGGAGCAGTAAAGTAACAGCAAGTTCTTTCTAAGGCAGCATTTTGATCAACACAAGGCCACACTAACCACTTCACAAGACTATTGCTTGATACCTGGGTTTATGGAAAATAGAATGCACACAGACTGATCTTCCTTTGTGTCTGTCCTTCGGCTCAGCCCCCCGCCCCACTTTCTGACATGCCTTCTTCAAAGAGAAATGTCTACACACCACCTGAAGAGTGAGGACAGGAAACGGGGTGCGAGGCACCAGGAGACACTCAGCGGGAGCATCTACAAGACTCCCACACGCAGAAAGTTGTCCAAGACGCAGCTCCACAGCCACCTCTGATAGCGTGTCTTGAAGTAAACGGGAAGAAGAAAATGCTGTTCTCAATACCTGCTCTATCACTTTCCTATCGGCTCGGAAGCATCTAAACATGCACTATCATTTTTCACGATTTACAAAGATGTCGTCGTTGATCTGCAGAGCAGTAGGCACCAGTTCGACCACGTCTACGTGCGTGATTCCGTGATCCTGAGTCCACTCGGGCTGCCCAAGTGTCCACACCCGCTTTTCCTCCTCTGTTAATATAAACTCCCTGCTGGGCAGTTCCCACATTTGCAAAGCTCCGTCCGCGGGCCTCCACTCAGGGCTCTGAGGAGAACACCATGGTCAAGCCAGACATTCTTCCCTAGTTAAGCTAAAGTGCAGCTTGGTTCTGAGGAGACGTCGAGGAATATTTTCGGTTTACTCTTTAAGATTTTATCAGCCAGTCTCCTTTTTCATCAGCCTGAAACCAAGCTGCTTTGTAAGCGATCCCTTCTGGTCCAACTCCTCTATTTATGCCCTGCCAACCTAACCGGTGCTCTGCCAGTTTTCACTCATACATTAGACAAGCTATCACTTCCAGGGGGGCAGATTTTCTCATGACAGTAACTCTGTAATATCTCATTTTAACAGTCTCTTGCTTCTTTGCAGGAGCTTTGGTGATGCATTGCATTACCTGCTATCCTACTAAGCCAAAGGTGAGCAGTTCAAGTCCACCAGCGATCCGCAGGGAAGAGACAGGCAATCTCCTGCCCTAAATAAAGGTTTACACCTTGGAAATGAGGTGGAGCGTTGCCACGTCAGAATCAACTCGACGGCAGTGGTGTTCCAATCTTTCTTCTCCATTTCCATTATTCTCAACCAACAATTCAAAACAGACAAAGAATTCAAAGGCTATCGTTCCGATTTCTCTCCCAGTGGTTTACTATGACGACGTACAAGTCACAGTGCAAACCAACTAAAGTGAAAACAAGCAAACAAAAACGCCAATTCCTGTCATCACGCTGATTCTGACGCCCAGTGACCCTCCAGGATGGAACCCAACTGTCCCGGAGGGCTTCCACGCCAGAAGCTGAAGGGACAAGGGGCCCTGTCATGTGGGCAGCTCATCACTGGGACGCGAACTGAAAGGTCAGCTGTTTGAACCCACCATCCTCCTCAAAGAAGAAAGATAATGCTGTTCGCTGCTGTGAAGATTTCCAGTCTTGGCAAGCTGACGGGTCAGCTCTCCTCTGTCCTGCAGGCCTGTGATGTGGGACTGAGTCTGACAAGGGGACGAGGGGCTACGTAGGGAAGGGGACTGGCACAGCTGTCTCCCTGGGAACAGTCAGGAGGTTCAAACTACTGATTCTGTGGTCAGCTGCCACGTTCTCATCCAGGGGGCCTCCAGGTCCAGCTAAGCTGGCACACATACGAGCATTCAGCCCCCACAAAGTCCGACGTACAAAAACGCCGCAGACATACTCACTTTTTCTGTCAGAAGCGGGGCACTGTGAACAAGTTTGTTTTTCTCTTCAAGCTGCCAAGGACAGAAACAGATCCGTATTACTCGGAAAGATCTGGTTCCCAAAAGACACGGAGACAAAATCAAAAGGAAGGCTCTGGAGCGGGGCATGTCCACAGGGAAGAGGTCCGGCTGCCTCCGGGAATACCCAAAAACGCTGAGAGGACAGCAAACCTCCAGAAGATGCCCCAACTGTGGGGACTTCCAGCAGCTGCCCGTGCACCTGTGCTGTGCAGCAGTGACCACTGCTCAAGGGGTAACGAGCACTCCCCGTCAGGGGCTCCAAGTGAGGGGCTCCATGTCAGGGGCTCCCCGTCAGGGACATGGAGCTTTACCCCAGGTCAGGCCTGTGCCAGAGTGCATACTCCTGTCTTGTTTGCAATGTCTTTCTAAAAGAACAAAGTTCAAGACTCATAAAAGCCTAAATTTTAGACCTGCCAAGTAGATGCAAATAAATATTAAGTCAACATGGATAATTAGATTTGAATATTAACTATTTTATTTAATGTATAAGTCTAGGTGACCTCAAGCTGGCTGCTTACCCACAGGTCAGCAGTTCGGGTCCACCAGCCATTCTGGGGAGGAAGCTGAGGCAGTCTCCTCCAGATTCAGAGGCTCGGTGCTGGTGGAGGGCCGCTGGGAGTCACAGTCCCCTCCCTGGCACTGAGTTTTGACTTCTGATGTAATATGCTGATTTCAAATGAGACTAAAATCAGGGCTTGCTATATAATTGTTGTGGTGGTGGTGCACCATCAAGTCAGAACTGGCCCGCAGCTGGCCCTCCAGCAGGTTTCCAGGGGCAGTGATTGCACGGGAGGAGATAGCCCATCCTTCCTCCATGGAGCAGCTGGTGGATTTTGAAGCATGTGCCTTCAGGATTGTAGTGCAGATTCTTACCCCTAGGCCATCAGAGCCAAGTGTCTAAGACTACTATCATGAGAAGCTAAAGAAAGGGTTACACACCCATAGACTCATTCTTAAATATCAGAGGCACTTATTACAACAGGTGAAGGGAAAGGCAATATTCAGTGAGGGGGTGACCAGCTGTGGCGGGCACGGTAATGAATGCTAGCCAACAAAAGGCATATGAACGGCTAAAGGAAAAACCAGCATGTTTTGTAAACTTTTGCTGACTTTAAAAATATGCATAAACTTAAATCTTTAAAAGCAACCTGGCATGATGATTCAATAAATAAATTTGTAATACCCACTGTGGCTTCCTGAGTAGCAGATACTAGAAGGAAACCAGGGAGGGTTGAGTTCAGGGAACGGCTTTGTGTTCCTGGACTGTGTGCACTTTCTGTCTCAGGTGCAGTGATCACCCTCCTGTCACGCTCTATTAGTGGGTCAGGGTGGGGGTTGTTGGGTCAGAACCAACCCATGGCTGACCCTCTGGAGGGTTTTCAGAGGCAGTTAATCGCACACGAGGAAAATGCCCATCCTTCTTCCAAGGAGAAGCTGGTGGATTCAAACCACGTGCCTTTGGGACTGCAGCACAGCTTCTTGCCATAGGCCACCGGAGCTTCCTCTGTTGGTGGGAGGTATCTGAATTTCCCTTCTCTGACAGGTGCTCCGGCTTTTGCAGGTTTCCCTGTACAGCGTTACCTTACCAACACATGTTCACTCGAGGATGAACACAGGCCCAGACCCACTGAAAACAAACCAAAATCTCCCCACTTACCCAGTTATAATAGATGGCTCGAGTTTTACTGTTGCTCACCAATTCTTTAGCATTTGTTGGATTAAAAGTAATATAGTTCTGAAATATAGAGTATGGAAAAAAACAGTACATTATCTCTTTTCTCGCTGCTTGAATACTTACAGTTAGATAATTTTATATTACATAATATAAAATATGCTTGATTAAAATAAATTACTAAGAGTTTAACACAAAAGACATGGCATTTGGTAAGCAATAGGAGGGTAATTTAAATACTGAGTGTTAAAAAGTCCCTCAGAAAAATCAATTTTGTAATAATAATGCCTTTATTTTTTAATTGAAATTTTTTAAATTCATTTTAGTGAAAGTTTACAGAGACTTAAGGTTTCCATTTGGTCATTGTTGTACTTTTCTCCCTGCCCACCCCCTTCCCAGAAAAATCAAATTTTTAAAAAATCACAAGGGCAGCATTTGCCCAGGGAGAAAGTTCAGAGGCAGGAAGGGAAGGGAAGACAGACAAATGGAAACAGGAAACACAGGGAGGAAGAGGGAGGAATGCTTGCTGTTCCATTGTGGAGACGCAATCAAGGTCATAAAACAAAATGTGAGTTTGCTGAACAGAAAACCAGCCTGCTCTGTAAACCGTCATTCTGATCAGAACAAAAAAAGTTAGTAAAAATAAAGAAACACCAGTCACAAGGCTGTTCTCTATCTAGTCTCTCTTAATACTCATCATCTGGTAAATTGGAATTGCCCAGAAACCTTTATTCTTTGTTCTCTTGAACAAAGTCGGCTGTGTTCACATGTATAAATGTGTCAGGGTCACAAGCTATCGTGGAATGAATGCAAAATCCTAGAGGGGGGATTCTGTCCCTGCCAAGATGGCATACGAACGCGGGCTGCTGGCGCCCAGCCCAGCCCAACTCTGCAGAAATACAGATGCAAGGGAACTGTGAAATCCAGAAAGGAAACTACTAGCAAAGGGGAGGGCCCTGGGGAGGGTGTCCTGGGGGAGGGTACCCTGGGGGAAGGTGTGGGAAGAGGGTGGTGGCACCCCGAGGGGAAGGAAGGGTACAGGACAGGCATGGACAGAGTGGTGGAGAGAAGCTGTGGGCTCCATCCCTGCTGATGCCGCCCCAGCTGCGCCCCTTCCTCCTCCAGTGCCTGCTGCCCCACTCCATGGCTGCACACTAGCACTGCCGGCCTCAGAGAACAGGATACACAAAAGCCGGGTGAGTTGAGGAATTGATAAAAGCAGGCACTTTAAAAAAAAAGAAAGAAAGAAAGAAAGAAAGAAAAGAAAAAGCAGGCACTTTTATCAATACCAGAAGGTGATATGTTTTACTGAAACATATAATTAATCTTATGATCTTGCCTGTAGTTGTTGTTGTTAAGTGTCACCGAGTTGTAGACAACTCATAGCGACCCTATGAACGAAAGACCTGAACACTGGTATAACTTTAATCGTTTCTCCAGGTTCATAGGGTTTCTGAAGGCCAGCTGTTTCAGAAGTGGATGCCACTCCTGCTTCCAAGCTTGTTTTAATCATGGAGCTCCACCAAACACTGTCCACTATGGGTAACTGTTATCTCATTTGACTCATCAGTGTCAGTGTTCAGCGTCACAGCAACTACGAGTTACCTCTGTACAGCAAATGGACAGACTAGTGCTGTACTGCTTAGAAGATTGTTTGACCAAAAACAATTAAAACCATCCACATTGATGCACATAGAGACAAAAGGGAAGAAAACATAAAGAAGAGACTGCAGCTCAGTGGGGCAGGATTACAAGGTCTAACTCCTGCGTAACTGGGCTGCCAACACGAGACAAAAGCATGAGGCTGGAAAAACATTTTGAGGTACAATGACTGAGAATTTTCTAAAACTGCGGCAAGAAATGTCATCACATGTTCAAGAAATCTCAGAACAAACTGTTCTTTTTAAAAATCAGCAACATGTACATAGGTACATCATTGAAGAAAAAAAATGTCTAATAGTGGGAGGGAGCGTAGAAGGAGGATGTGACAGTGTTCATTTGATCGGGGGACACCAATGACCAGGGCAAGCAGACTTCTGATGAAGTCATGCTGGGGTGGAGGATGTATTTTGTAGAAAAGAGAGGAGTGAACCAAAATGTCCATCAATTAAAAAAAATAAATAAATAGTTGGCATTGTGTCTCTTCCAACTCACAGAGAGTACAGAAGAGAGCAGACCTTACTGCAAGGTTCCAAGGCCGCAATCTTACGTAAATGGTCACGTCTTGCTGCCAAGGAGCTAGCACTTAACCACTGTATCATCAGGGTTCCTTACTATTCATCAACATGTTGTTGTTGTTGTTTGCTGTCGAGTCCAGCACAACGCATAGCAACCCTGTGAACCAAAGACCCAAAGCCTTTCTCTAACTATCGCTGTTTCTCCAAGTTCATAGAGTTTCCAGAGGCATGTTGTTTAGGAAGTGGACGCCACTTTTGCTTCCAAACCTGTCTTAATCTGGGAGCTCCACCAAACACTGTCCACCAAGGGCAACTGTTATGGCATTCGGCACCCCAATGGCACAGAGTTCAGCACATAGCCAGTCCACCTTACCTGAGTCCAGCAAACTGACAGACCAGTTCTTGCACCATTGAGAAGAATGTTCCTCTAAATTACAATTACAGCCTGAGGGCCCCACCAACTTTTAAATACAAAGGCCCTGCAGGAGGTGGTGTTGACTCTAAAAAAGAGGCTTAAATCAAAAACAACCAAACTTTCCACACGACCCTCAACCAAAACAAGAGAGCCCACATTTCAGAGTAAATCTGCTTCCCCTAGACTCCTTGTCTTCTGTTGTTGTTAAGTGTCCTGGAGTCGACTAGCGACCCTCTAAACAAAAGGCCTGGACCCTGTTCTATACCAATCATCATTTCTCCATGTTCACTGAGTTTCCAGAGGCACGTGGTTTAGGAAGTGGGTGCCACTCCTGCTTCCAAACCTGAATCAATCTGGGAGCTCCACCAAACACTGCCCATAACGGGTAACCATTATGGCATTTGCCACACCTTTGGCACAGAGTTAAGCATCACAGCCACTCCAAGTTACCTCAGGATAGTAAACAGACAGACCACTGCTGTACCACTTAAAAGAATGTCCATCCCCAGATCAATTAACGTATGTAATTAGCACATGCTCATCAACATAGAGATGGATAAACATGTGGTGTGAGATCAAGCAAGGAGAAGTTACACATCAGTGAAAATGAATGAACCCTGGAGCTCGGTAAGGGTTGCTCGTGGTAAGGAACTGGCTTGCCAGCTCAAAGGCATGCGGTTCAAACCCACCAGCTACTCTGAGGGAGGAAGAGGAACAGCTTCCTCCTGTGACATTTACCAGCTCTGAAAAGCTGTTGGAGGCTCAGCTGTGAACCGAGTACGTAACAACAACACAACTCAGTAATTAATGTAGATCAATTTAACGAACAAGGCAGAACAATATTAACTAACTCCATAAGGTAAGTAACAGCAAAACCAAAATCAGACCATAATGAGGGACACGTGCCTCAGTGGGAGAGACAGTAATGAAAAGCCAGGGGAAAGGACAACCTCAAGTGTGGGCGACCGGGGGCCGTTTTCGGATGTGGGGACCAGGCGCGGTCCCACTGTGCGTTCTGCCGCAGCCCGTTCAGTGAGCTGAGGGGCAGGGAACCCGAGTCACCGTCATCACTGCCCAGAACTTTCCACAATGACCGCGTGTGGAAACGCCCAACTATGGTGCTGGCCAATACAGCGGCCATCTGCCGCACTGAGCACCTGGAACACATCCAACGAAGCCAGGCCCCGGGTCAGTCACGTCATCTCACGGTAACTGGTTAAAACAGTCACTCGTGGCTTGTGGCTGCCACGTCTGAGGTAGCAGCCTTAAGTAAGGACTTCTGCAGAATCTATCTGCACAGTTGATAAAATGGCCCTGATATGGATAATGTGAGGAAATTCTAGGTGTAAAATATTGGAAGTTTATCACTGGTATATGCTCCTGTTTAACTGGAAATAAAGCAGCCCAGTAAAAAGAAAACTGTGACAGTCTCTTCCACATGTGGTGTGGCTCCTGGGCCCTGGACAGCACAATAGAGCCAAGTGGTCTGCTTCCTGGTACCACACCTTGACCTCTGTCAATTGTACCTGGTACTGTGGTGTCTTGGAGATAAGGGGTCCTGGAGGGGTTGACACGGCTAACTAAAAGTCAGCAGTTACACTCACTAGCCACGTTACAGGAGAGATGGGTAGGGGGGGGTCCTGGGACGGCTTACAGCCTTGGAGACCCAGCTATGCCGTTTCCCATCCTCAGATCAGAACCGACTCGGTGGCATCACGTTAGGGGTTTATAATACTCACAAGTCAGCGGTGAGTTAAGAGCATCCTGCCAGAATCAGAAGGACCGTGCGGAGGGTAAATTCTGTAGGTGAATCCCATCGTCATTTCCCTGACCACGCTAAGCCTCCTCACCATGTTTACATAGGTTCGTGGGATCGTCTGGGTAAAGGACTTGGACGACGCTCACACATAAGAACGCCAGCTGTGATCATCGCGCACGTGTCCCCAAGACACTCGCACCCCAGCACAGGCTGCACAGAAACAAGCAGGTGTCCGCCCGTCCCAGGGCAGTGCTCGCCCCAGCGCTCACCTGGGAACCATACTCGCTGTGGAGCTGCAGCGTGCATGCCGGCGTCTCCGCGGCCAAGGTCCACTTCCAGATGCAGACCTGCTGCGGTGACTGCAGACAGTGGGGGGGACGGGCGGAATGAGATAAATGAGATGCCGTCTCACGGCTGCCGCCTGCTTCCCGCCTCTCACAGGAACACAGTCACAGCCCCACAAGCCTCCCCAGAGAAACCTTCCAGGTGACACGTGGCCTGAGCCGAGCTGCCCGTGGGGGCATCTTGGCAGGATGGCCCACCTTACCTGGATTCTGCCGTCTGAGATGGTGGCCAGATACTTGGCATCGGAGCTGATGGCTATTGCGTTGATGCCACTGCCGTCCGGGCAGCTGTCAAATATCGTGTGCACAGGGATCCTGCAAAACGGGACAAGGGCGGATGAGCCACTGCTGAAGCAGAGCTGCTTTACACACAGCTGGAAGGCAAGGGCAGCCCAAGTGTCCACCAAGGGATGAACGGGAACCACAGGGGCCTGTCAAGGTGATGGACTATCACACGGATAAAAAGGAAAGTGGCTGTGATGGACACTACGGCACGGATGAACTCTGGGGGCTACAGTGGGGGAAAGAAAGCACACGGACACAGAAGCACATAGGCGGGTAGAGGCGAGGCCTGTGTGAGAACAGATCTAAGTGTCCAAGTGTACACACCAACACAAGGAGGTGGGCAGGCACGTGTTTGCATTAAAGACTACAGATAGCGCTCAGGTAGAGTCAAACAACCTGCAAATCAGTGTCCTCCGTTTGGAAGCGTAAGAAAGGCTCTGCCAGTTGGTGCAACGTAGTTGCGAAAATGTTCAGTTCTGTGTCTTAGTGAAGTGACTTGCAGATTTCTTCGAAGTCTACGAGAAGAAAGAAGGTAACCAGAGCCTCAAAGAAGAAACAAGCCTAGGAGGCCGACTCCTGCACCAGCCAATGCAGGCCCTCCGAGACTGTGCAAGCCCTCCGAGACAGACGCCAGCCCTCTGGGATAGAAGAGCTGGATGGCGCCCAGCCCCACCACGCACCCACCTCACTGAGCACAAGTGATGACTCTGGCCAGAATGAAGGAAAAAGGAACTGTAAAGCTCATTCTTCAAAAAGGCCTGGCCGAATGGACCAGTTGAGACCACTGCCCTGAGGTTCTCATTAAATTCTAAACAAAAATGATCCCCTGAGACCACCCTTTCAGCAGAGATCTATTAACATGCTGCTGCAAATGAAGGCAATTTAAAAGTGGGAGGCAACGTGTTAAACAACAATTTGAGTCTAAAAGGTCAACACTGAATTTAAAGGAAGATGAGATGAGGAGCAGGAAATGCAGAGCACAGGAGAAAGGGAGAGGTCAGGGCACAGGAGACCAGGCGTGCAGCGTGCAGGTGATGGGGCAAGGTAGGGGTGCAAGCGACAAGGTGATGAGGTGAGGTCAGGGTGCAGGAGATGAGGTGCAAGGAAAGGGCACAGGGAGAGGACAGGGTGCAGGAGACAGGGTGAGGATAGGGCAGAGGAGACGGGGTGAGGTCAGGGATACTTGACAATGAAAATGTGGCCAATGTCACTGACCAATATGTATGGAAACTGTTAAATGGAAACCTTAGTCTTCAATATGGATTAAAGCACCAAGATATATGGAGAAGAGATTGAGGTTGTTAAGAATTTCGGCTTGCTTGGCTCCACAACTGACATTCTTGACACCAACCATCAGGAAATCAAAAGACAAACTGCACTGGGAAAATCTGCTGTCAAGGGACCTCTCCCAAGTGCTGAGAAGCAATGATGTCAGTTTAGAGACTAAGGTGCACCTGACCCAAGCCATGGTCTTTGCAATTACTTGCTATGCATCAAAGACCTGGACAGTGACTAAGGATGACAGAAGAAGAACCGATGCCTTTGAGTTGTGCTGGAGAAGAGTCTTAAACATACCAAGGACTGCGAAGAGAACAAATAGGTCTGTCTTAGGGCAAAACCAAGTTTCTCTTAGGAGCCAAGGATTTTGAAGCTCCTTCTCACATACTACTTTGGGCATGTGGCCAGGAGGCACCAGTCCTTGGAGAAGGACATCATGCCCGGAAGGGTGGAGGGACAGCGTAGGAGAAGACCCTGGATGAGATGAATGATACCGTAACTGGGGCAATGGGGGTAGGTGTGTCTGAGTCAGTGAGACTGGCTTAGGACAGGGCAGGCTTCAGAGCTGTTGTACACAGGATCGCTGTGAGTCGCAGGCGACAATTACTCCCCTGTACACTCTCACACTGTTGTTAGTGTGAGGTGCTGTGGGGACAGTCCTGACTCTAGCAGCTCCAGGAATAATAGAACAAAGCACAACCTGGTCCTGCATCAGCCTCCCAAGTCCTGGTCTGTATGAACCCACTGTTGCAACCGCTGTGTCACCCCATCTTGTATTTGGGAAAGTGAAATGTTGTTGTTGTT